CCGCCAATAGCCCTCACCACCGTCGCCGTTAGCCCCTCCTTTCCTCACCATCGCTGCTGTGCCGATCGGAGAACACCACTGTTAGTCTCTCTCTCTCTCTCTCTCTCTCTCTCTCGGCTGTGGGTGATTTTGGTTGTTGATTACTTTTTAATTTACTCAAAATGGAAATTTTATGAGTGTTTTGATCAATTCGTTGTAAAAAGAAAATGAAATTTTGGTTGATTTTTTGTGTTAGTTTTGATTTGATCCCTTCTGGCATTAGGGTTTAGTTTGAATGTCATTAGTTTTTTGTAAATTTATTTGCTTTAGAGGTTATCTGTACTGATATCTGAGGCCGTGGGTGATTTTGATTGTTAATTACAATTTAATTTACAGGAAATTGGGGTTATCATTATGGGTGCTTCGATGGAGTTGACGGGATTGATCAGTGTAAAAGAAAATGAAAAATTGGTTTAATTATGTGTCAGTTTTGATTTTATCCCATTTCTGGCATTAGGGTTTAATTGGAATGTACTCAGATTTTTGCAAATTTATTTACTTGAGATTTTGTTATATTGATGGGTCTTTAGTTTTGATTTAATCGTTTATCTCTTTATTTAGAGTTTGTAAGTTTTAGAACTTTATAGGATATGAATCATAAAATGAAAAGAATGTTGTTACGGATCTATAGTCCTGCCCTATATATTATAGGTTGGTTGTCGCACTCCATTTTTGACTTAAAATGATGTTCTTTTGCCCTAGAAGTCTCATCTCGGCAGACCTTGTGGTTAACTTTGCCTTCTCTCATCATATAACTCAAATCACCTTAGTTTGCATACATTTATACATATATACATGCCCTTAGTGGTTGCACTGTAGCTTCAAAAGTTTGATACTGATAGACATATCTCATGTCCCAGCTCTATAGGACTTGAATGGAAAATTTAATACCCAGAATAAAGGGAAAACAATGTAGCTGTTATGTTCCGCTGTTCTATTCCAAGAATCAAAATGTTATGTTGTCATCTGTTAAGCAAAGTAATGACAGTTTTATGTTTGCTTTTGCATAGGTATGACTATTCTGGGTATGGACAGTCTTCTAGGAAGGTGTGTGGCAATCAAAAACATTGAAACTGGGTATGGACAGTCTTCTAGAATGGTGTATGTGTTGACTGTGTGCAGAACATTGACAAAATCCCATATGTTAATTGTCCTGTGCTGATTATTCATGTAAGTATGCAATTTTCAACATTTTACCTTTTAGAATTACTTATGGTAATTGAAGAACCATTCTAATACAGTTTTTAGACAATTAAGCCATTCTATAAGCTAGCATGAAACTCTTACCTTTTTTATCTGCCTTGCTTCTTTGTTTCTATGTTTTTGTGGGTACATGTATATGATCATAACCACAGACTTGGATGACTAAGCTCTTATGACTTGATGGCTATAGTTGAGAGTTTTCCATGGTATTTGTCACCTCCTCTCTAAGATACTTAACTGGTTTTAGAGAGAGATCCTCAGAAGAAGACAAATCCAAACTATAACCAAGACACATGATGCCCAATGGGTCGCTGTGTGCAAGTGGTGGGAAAGATGGGTTAATTTTGTTGTGGGATCTGGCTGAGGGAAAGAAGCTTTGCTCGCTCGATTCGGGTTCGATTATTAATATGAATGTATGAATGTATTGTATTGTAGAAGCCTAGACGTCTTAGGATATTTTCAATTCCTACATTAAGTATACATGTCAATGGATCAATACTTTTTCTTACTGTAACCTCTATGATTTTTGTTTATTTGTTTTTACCCTAATCAAAGATATTAGAATTTTATTTTTCTTGTCTTCCTTCACAAGGAATTCTGAATTGCAGCCTGATGGATTAGCTACATCACATGTGGTTTAAGATTGCCGAGAATCCTCTTAGTTTTGTTTTTGTGTTGATTTTTCTTGCTTCATACTAATTTAGGTAATATGTATAATTATGCAACATATTGCCAACATATGTGAGGGTAATGAGTTTACCATTGTCCATCTATCGTGATGGTGGATCTTCTCATCTCATTCTGACATGGGTTACTTTTTCATGAACCATGTTAACCTTGTTGTGGCAATATATTTCCACTCTTTTTAGTTGTGGTGTTCTCTAGGGCACATCAAAGATTGTGTCTGTTACTGTGTTTGCCTTCTTTTCTTTCTATAATTCCTCTACAAGATCTGCCTAGATATGTTCTGTATCAGAGATTTGTTATGTTGGGCCTCCATTTGGTTATGGACAAACCATTCCCTCTGTGGATGTCTAATTGGGGAGTTAATGTTTCTACATGCAAATGTCTAATAGCATGATCTTGTTTCAAATTTACTTATTAAAAGGAAAATCATGATCTTGTTCCAATTTTAATTATGTATTTTTTGTTGTTTTAAATAATTTCTAGTAGTTGGCATATACATTATTGAGGGCTATGACGTTCTGATTCTTTTTATATTATGTGGTTATTGAATTGTGAGTTTTTACCTGTGCCTTCCAAGTGTATGCAAGATGGATTTCAGTACCCCTATTGTGTATATATATATTTTAGTGTCTATCAGAGGAGTCATGTGTTGGTTTCCTCCATCTTCTAATGTAATTCTGTTCAAGTATCGTAAAAAACTATGTTTTTTATTTTTTAAATTATGCTATTTCATAGTTTGTGGACAGCTTTGTATGCGTTAACGTTGTTCGGTCATTGTTGCAGGTGGGCGTCCTCCACCAGAAGAGGTGGCATGACTGTTTTGGGAAAAGTTGCTGTTCCAAAACCTTTCAACTTACCCAGCCAAAGGTATCTAGCTTGCTGCTTAATTATTTCCATTTTCCTATGTTAATTATGGGGGATGTATCATTGTTGTTTTGAACCCAAACTTTGATTGAAAATGAGCTAGAATAATCCGTCAAATATCATCTCAAGGAGGCCTAAACTAATAAGGCCAGCAATTTTGTAATGGAATGAGTTAATTAGAGAAAAACAATTGAGTTGGTTCAAAGTTTATTTTATTTTATTTTCTCTTTTTTTTGTTTAGAGATTTTTTGAAATTTTTCTCTCTCTCTCTCTCTCTCACACACACACACACACACACACACACGTGCATGTGCAAGCACTTGGAGACATGCACACCTTTTTATGATCTTTCCTCATCTGATAATTCAGTTGCATGGGGTCCAACTGGTGTCTCAGAGATATTGGTAGGATGGCATAACTAAGTTCAGTATTAAATATTCATGTTATAAATTTTTAGTTAAAAAAATATTTATTGTCTTGCTTCTAGTTATTAAAAAAATTGCTGCAATACATTGTCTCAAATCTTATTTATATGAATGATTAGATTTCTTAGTTGGAGCTGCCTTTTTTCATTTTGAACCCTTTTTGTGTTTATAGTAGTTACTCCTATTGAGGTTGCTGCATTATCTCTTGGCAACTTGACCTAACATATTATGTACGCAGGGAGTGGCAACCTCCAAGAAGGATGGGTTCTCTCTGAGTTTTGGAGACTTTCCGACACTATAATTCAGATTTTATAGTGTAAGTAAAAGATTCCTGCAACTAACAATTCAGATTTTACATCCAGCATGCATGGGATGTAAGTAAAAGATTCATATATAATTACACTATAATTCCTCTAAATGTTGTAGTTATTTGTTTGGGGATCGATTTGATGCGCTTTCACTAAAAATAGTTGCTTGTAGAAAGAATGTGAATAATATTAATTTAATTTTTTGTGGTAAGTAAACATGTGAACTTGAATGAAGAAAATAAAAATGTATAACTATATACTTGCACTTCCTATTCCTGTATAATTCTTCCATCAGCTAGAATATTGATGAGCTGATCAACACAATCTATAAATTCATAGTGTGGCATCTTTGTGAACAAACCATTAAACTTCTGTGACACAAAGTTTACACATCGCTTGTTTAGGTGTTTAAATATGATTCAACGTTGTACATTTTTATTGGGTTTTATCTAAGATTACATCTAAGATTCAAAGTTGTGCTCTTTAAATATGATAGATCTCATGTTGACTTTGGTGGAGTCTATACAGATTATGAGATGTTGAAGGATGTATTGAGATTTAGCAGACAAGAACTCAAAGTAGCATGTGAAGATTTCAGCAACATTATTGGGTCCTCTCCAGACAGTCTAGTCTACAAAGGAACCATGAAAGGTGGTCCTGAGATTGCTGTAATATCGCTTTGCATTAAAGAAGAGCATTGGACAGGCTATCTTGAGCTTTATTACCAGAGAGAGGTAAAGTAATTAGATTGATGGTGAACGTAATTAGATATGTGACAAACGACTTTTAAAATCTCACTTATTTTTACAATTCAGGTAGCTGATTTGGCAAGATTAAATCATGAGAATACAGGAAAATTACTGGGTTATTGCACAGAGAGTAAACCATTTACAAGGATGTTGGTTTTTGAATATGCATCACAAATCACAGTGAACAAAACCTATTACAATTTGTGCCAGAAAGCCACCTAAAATCATGTCACATTCTCCACCAATTCTTAATTTGATCAACAAACCTAATACCAATAATGATTAGCAATACACACCTTATGCTTCTCCTTAAAATGAATTGGAGAGAACGTGAAAGGATTTAAGAAAGGGATTTATCACACTGATTGCAGTTTGAAACACATGCATATATGATTAACCAAATGAAAAGGATTACACTATGAAGAGATGATGGTCCAACAATCATAAGTTCATATATGTATTGTGAAGTATACGAGCCAACAGCATCATATGATAGCCATAGACATGCACAGTGAAGGTCTACCTCTTCTTTTTTCATTTTCATATTTTTAACAGGTCTAAGTGTGTTTTATGACGAAAAGCAAAAGTGTAAGCTAGAGGAGATCTCTCTTACAGTGTCTGGTTCCATTTCAATTGGTGACAGAAATCTATCAAAACAATGTCCAGATATTGTACAAACCAAAAGCTCATTTGTAGGGTCCAAAACAACTTCTCTATATGTATCATCACAAACTGCATGAACAAAGAACATAAACCATTAATAAAAATCTATGTAATTGTACCTATTAAACAAACAAACAAGGTTGCCACATTCAATAACCACAACTAGTGTTTCATATCATGAACCTACCCAGTCTTCTCACAAACAAATACATCTCCAATTTGATAGTAAGTACATGTTTCTCCAGAGCAATCATGGTCCAAGACCACCTTATCAGTCAGGCCTCTGCTGCTTTTCCATATAGACACTTGATCAGTAAGAGTCTTGTCAAGAATAATCCGGTCATCATTCACCTTCAGATATATAAAGAGAGAGGGGGAAAAAAAGGAATAAATAGTAATTAAGGAAATGCATTTGCTAATTTTCATTGAGACTCATTTGAAGAAGTCAATCCCTATGCATGGTTCATCCACTATGGCAAGTACAAAGAAAAAATAATGTAAGCAAACCTCCAATAAGCTTTCAACATAATTCATCTGAGAGAGAGAGAGAGAGAATTGGAGAGTTGTTTGGGGAGGTGGAGGATAAGAAAGAATGCAACATGTTTGCGGTTATCAAACTATCATTAATAAATATTTTCAAGGAGTCCAATATCCAAAATCCTATACCCCCACCCTCCCACCACCAAACAGGGGAAAAAAGGGGATTCATGCATTAGCAAGTCTTTGCCTCACCTACACGTATGCCCTCACAAAAGCCTGAGGCGACCTTCAGGCCAAGCCTGAACTTCCTGCTCCTTATCCAACTTGAGTTATCAGTAAATGTAAGCTCTCCCAGGGTTCCCACACCTTCTTTGAGCGTCACTTGCAGATCCCCAGTCAAAAGTGGTCTCTTTCCTTCACGCTCTTTCACAACATGGCTTTCAAATTCTTCTTCGGTCCAACCCTCATCATCTTCATTGTTGAAATCACCTTCCAGCACAACAACATCAAGTTTTATGGTGGATTCAGGTCCAGAGGTTACAACATGACCTGTATTCACATCAAGTAAAACAATATGGATTGCAGCACCCTGTTCCCCTTCTACTTTTCCTCCAGTGAAAAGGGGAAGAGACAACCTTGACCTGAAGTGCAGCTGCAAGTTTCGTCCATCTGGCCCCTCAATTCTTTTAGGAGAAGCCCTGTAATCTCAAGCGTAAGGATGAAGAAATAAAAAACACAGGCACAAAAATAAAAATAAATAGAGAGTTTACAGTAGTGCAAGGACAAGTGATAATCAATGAAGCACAACTGATTTTAGGTACATGGGTAGACGGACTAATAAGCAAGTGGTTTCAGATTTTTCCAGTGCAACCAGCCAAACTGTTTAAGCTTCAAATGCCATAATATATGACAACATGGTTCCAGTTATCATATGCTTTCTTCACCAAGGTATCCACATATAACTGCAACAACAAAATTTACAGGTTTCCATAAGCATCACATTCTCTAATTATGAGCTTTATGACAACCTTCCAGGGGTGGTACCGGGAGAGAGAAAGGTAAGATCTGTCTAAGGTTAATGGTGATAGTTCCATCTATACACACCTTTTCTGGGGCTAAGTCAATTCCTAAATTCCCGCGAGAGAGGATAACACCATCTGCTTCCTGAAGGATCTCATCAAAATGTCTCAATCCCTGGCAAAATATGGAGCAATGTACATGCAATCGGTTTATCCATCCAACATTAAAGCACTACAGTTGCAATTATATAACAGCAAAATAGAACATATCATTTCCTTCAGGAATTCAATTATAATGTCAATGCCTAGCTTACCTCCACTGTCTCAATTTTGGCAAATATCTGAGTTTCATGAAGATTATGAGCTTGAAAGCTCTGAGCTGTTGAAAATAGAAAATGTGAAATTAGCTCTAGATATACATCTAATTAACAGAACAACATTGGCATGGTTTGAAAACTCAAAAACATGGCAGTTTCTATGAATATTGCTAGCTCCAACAGAAATGAACACATCCTCAATCAGGTATTAATAAATATTTGACTTGACAAGTTACAGGGACTTAGCAGAAGAAGTACTTGCTTCAGTAGATGTCTCAACGTAGGAAGATAAAGTATCATGATCTCATATTTGTAGTATGCCAATTGCTATGTGATATTCACCAGTACTAGTTCACTAGTTGCACCTAAATCAATATAGAGTGTAGCGCAAATAGAACTGCAATACACTTAAAAAGTGCCTGCTGCAGAGTTTTTACCAATTATTATTACAGATTCAATAGGGAAGGCCACTCAACCATTGAAAAAAGTTTGTTAAATTCCCCTGAAATAAGCATTTTTTTGAAACTTGAAACATAATTCTAGTAATTTTCTGAAGTTTCAGAAATCTACTTCCATTGGCAATTGACAATTATTAGAAAACATATTTTCTTTTTCTTTTTCTTTTTTTGAATAAAATTTTGCTTTGATTTTGATTGATCAATTGAAAGGGTTTCAAAATTTTCATTTTTTGAAAATGACATCAAGCCAACCAAATAGATCCAAAATCTAGTCAAACACTTCCAATTGCTACTGCTCTGCTCTGCTCTGCCTCAATTGGTTCAAACAAAAACAAACAATTTAAAAATCTCCTTTTTATTCAATTGTTTTCTCAGCACCAAACAGCAATCAAAGAAATTTATCAAAAAAAGAAAAAGAAACCCACCTCTGAAATAGGACTGTGAGATGGATCAGACAAATGCGGAGGTAGAGAACCCGAATGCACCGATCTCGGCACCCCCATTCTCTCTCTAACTCTCATCTCTCTCTTGACCGCTTTCTTCTCTTCCAAATTGTCCCCAACCCTAGGCGACGGAGCCTCATTCATCTCCCACAGCGTCGCCGCCAACTTCCTCGTAGACACCGGCCTCGACCTCCCACCACCGCTCTGCGACGGCGCGTACTTGGGAGAATCCAAAGCCGCCGCCATCGTCCTCCAAGACGGAACCGGAGTGCTCGATCTGGATCCCCGAGGCTTACCCACCGAAATGGCCCGCTTGAATCGATAATTTTGCAACACAGAGGACAAAGACGAAGACGAAGAGCAACCCCTCTTTTGGATCTTGCAGGATCCGGGAATCAAACCCTCCACAACCCGATTCTGCCTTGGCATTATCAATTTCAATTTATCACACACACTCTCTCTCTCTCTCTCTGATCTATGAAGAAGAAGAAGAAGAAGAATGGATTTGCATTTGAAAATTCAAACCCTAGAAATTTATGATATGAGTTTTGAAAGTGTATGTATATGCTTTTTCATAGCTGGAGCTGGTGGATGGAGTGGGTTGGGGTAATTAGTAGTTGGAGAGCGATGCAAACAAAAGGAAATGAGAGAGAGAGAGAGAGAGAGAGCATGTGAAGGTGAATGCGTGGTACAAAACGACGTCGTTTAAAAAATGGCGACCAAATTTTTTTGTCCCAAAAAAAATTCAATTTCCACCTCTTTTTCAAATCAAATTTCCCTCCCAAACTTTTGGCGACCAAAAGACCATATTAGTCACAGAAAAGGTACCTACGCCGACAAACTTTTTTAGTCACCAAATCTCAATCAACGGCGACTAAAATATTAGTCGCTAAAAGTACAAATTTGGCGACTAATTTTTTTTTGGTTGCTGAAAATAAGTTTTTGGCGACCAAATTTTTGGTCGCCAAAAAATATGTGACCTTCCGCGACCAAATTTGTAGTTGGTCGGCAAACACATACCACTGTCTGCGACCAATAATATTTGGTCGCCAAAAATAATGAACATTCGCGACTAATTAATATTTGGTCGCCAAATGTCATTTTTTTACGACCAAAATTTTTTTGGTCGGCAAATGTGTAAATTCTTGTAGTGTAGCTTCAACAATGATCGGAATATCTTATGGTATGTTTGGTTTATTGAAATGAAAATAGAATGAAATAAAATGTTCATTTCTTAATTTTCATATAGAATGACCATTTATTTATAATGGTGAATGATTGATTATTCCATTTACAATTTTTTTTTTAAATCTTCTTTTAGTGAAAGGAACACGGAAGTAAATATTCTACTAGAATGACTATTCGATTCATCTTTATTCTAATAAACCAAGCATTACCTAAACACCACATTCATATATGGGATACAATAGAGTCCCAAACAATTTTTCATGAAAGTGTCCAAAATGTTTTATTGACAGTACTACATTCATTTTGAATTACTCCATACTTTATCAGTATGAATACAGTGTTGTTACACCATATTCTAGACACTTCCATGAAATTTTTATGAGTTAGTTTTGGTATATTAGCAAACAAATCAAAATCTTGAGATGTATTCAGTCACGCTTTACAAATGGTTAATTCAATAACTGAAGAAAATAAGCGTACTAACATGACACAAATCTCTTTGTCCCCTTGTTTTAAACACTCATAGCCATTAAATCATGTTTTGAGTTTCTTGTACCTTGTGAATTTCACATGATCAAATGGATGTAAGTGTTTTGAGACAGAAAAACAGACAGATTTGAAAATATGATCCTAGACTATATATAATTGTATTTGTATGTAAATGTGGGCTAACCTTCTTCTTAGGTTCAGAAGTGGTCTTTGGGGCAGCCTTCTTGGGGGCTGCCTTGATGCAGGACCCTTGTATGCACCATCACTGCTCTTGACTGCAGGCTCCTTCTTGGCCTGCCCAAAGGGTTGAGTCCCAACTGGTTTGTCTACCTTCACTGATGCCATTGTTCTTCACACTCCTTAACACAAAGATATATAGTAAAAGTATATATATCAAACTCGCTGGTCTTAAGTATTATCTGCCCATAAACATTAGGCTATTTATAGCTAGTTGAGCTCTCTCTCTCTCTCTCTCTTGTTTGGTTGTGCTGGAAAAAAAATGCGCAAAGAAAATAGTGATTTCTCCCCTATAATTTATTTGGATAAGTTATCTATTTTTTTTTTTTAATTTTATTTCTTGAGGAAATTACAAATCAGTAGTACAATCTCAAGAAAAGACTTGCACCCCCCACACAGGAGGACTTGTGCCTCCCATGAGAATAATATTATTTTGGAATTGTTCAAATTGATTTGTAATTTTCCCTTATTTCCTTAGGTCTCGTTTGGGAACAAGCTATTTTAATAATTTTTTGAATTTTTGACTAAAATATGAGGTAAAAAAACTAGTGTGTTTAGAATGACTTTTTGATTAATTAATTTTGGAATAGTCATGAGGTAAAAAATTTGTAAGAATAGTCATGAATTGAAAGGTGAATAAAAGAATTTTGGAAAATTAAAAAAATCAAAAAATCAAAATTTGACTCTTGTGATAAAATTAATTTTTAATTTTATTAATTTAAACTCTAATCTTATGATTTGTTTTTAATCTAAACTATCAACTTATATTTGTTAAGTAAAATTGATAAAAAAATATAATATTTTAATCATTAAATTCAATATAAGTGTACAAAAAATATTTAAAATATTATTTTTCATTGAGTTTAACAATTAAAATATTATTTTTTTATTAATTTTACCTAACGAAAACATGTAGATGGTTTAGGTTGAAAATAAATAAAAAGATTATAATTTAAATTGATCAAATTAAAATTTTATTTTCTTAAAAAGATCAAACCTTTATATATTTTTTTGTAATTTTTTTAAGAATTTTTTAAATTATAAGAGGGGTCATTCTATAGACATCGTAGAAAATATTCATAAATTAATAGGCTAATAAAATAATTTTGAAAAATTGGCTTAGTCTCTCTGCTCTTTCTCTCTCTCATATATGGCCAGTTGTTTTTGTTTTTTCATCATGTTATGGGGTGTTTTGAATAGATGGTTAAAAATAATTGTTTGATTTTTTTTTAACTTTTTTATGAGAGAAAGAAGTATGTTAAAAGTTGGGAAATAACTTTTAACCCACTTCTCAAAATGGGCCTCTATCTCTAAGTATATGATATTTCAATGTAAGGTTAATTACACTTTTCACCTTTATAATTTAATTTAAATTTTTATAATTTTAATTTAAATAATTTAATTTTTATATTGTAAATCTAATTTCAATTTAATCATTTGTCTCCCCATCACTCAACACATATATATAACTCCCCCTTTCTCAACTAATGAGAGCAAAGAAAGGTACCTCAAGACACCTACCCTATCTGCACTCAAAAATTTCTCCAAAACCATGGAGGCATTGAATGGCGGCCAAATTACATCGCTATTTTCTGTATTTTTTTTATTATTTTTTATTTTGTGTGATATTTTAGTTCATATCATTTTAATTAGTTTAATTTTGACTCTTAATTTTAAATTTTGTATTAATTTGATTCAATTAATAACTCCTATTACGGTTTTTAAAGAAAACTGATCACCGAGTTGGTTAAGATTAGTTTATTGAGTTGAATAAATTTACAATTTTTTCTTGTAAAAGCATGACACATTGATTCATTGAGTTAAATAAATTTATAATTTTTTCTCTAAAAGCATGACACACTGCTAATGTGCGCATTTTCTATCAAAAAAACACTAATAATTATAATCAATTAGACTAAATTTACATAAAATTATAAATTTAGGATCAAAATTGAACCAATTTAAATTATAAGAAACAAAATGATGCAGAAGCCAAAATTGGCTCGTTTGAAAACTTGGTTATTTTAGTTGACTTTTTTGTTATTTTAGCCTAACTAAAAAAAATTATATTTTGAGATGGTAGTTGGCATTTTTTTTTTTTTTGGTAGTTGATTTGATAACTGTGAGAGCAAAAAATAAAATGATTATGGTTTGAATGTAATATTTTGTCTTATTGATCTATTTGTTTTTTATTGCTATTTTAACCCAACCCAATATATGGACTATAAGATGCTGGGAATAACAAGTTTTTCCTTTTCTTTTTTTTTAATATTTAAATTTAAGTGACATGCGAGGAAGCAAAAATATACTAATTAATGGGATTAACTCGTTTAGTTAAAATTCTTGCACCTCATTAGGGGTTAGTGGTTTGAATATTTGTACTTACATATAGGTCTTATTCTTGGAGTTAGTGGTTTGAATATTTCTACTTACATATAGGTCTTATTCTCTACGTGTCTATTTATTAGGACTTTCTCTCTCATTTTGGAGTTTTTCTGTATTGATTATAGTATTTGATTTTATTTTTAAGATTATGATTGTAAGTCAAAGTTTAATCAAACGCTCTAATACAAAATTTAAATTTTTTTAAAAAATTTATAAATAATTCATTAAGTTACATTAAATATTCCATCAC